TGACTGTACTTTGCTTTTTATATATCTGTGTTTTTATACATCGTGTTTCTTTACGTAACATAACCGTACGGTGACAGGTCAAAAACAATCTAAATGTATTTAATCTGCCGTCTATGCATATTTAGTAAAACGGCACTCTGATTTAAGGAGCATCATTTTCTTATCCAGTCTCTTGTTCTTGGTGTCTTCAGCCGTCAGTATCAATCCATTGGACCATTCAACTGATTCTCTTTCTGATTAAGTAAAGCAATACAATGATTTAGAAAAATGGCTGGAAGTACAAGAAAAGATAATGCTGAGCAAGAAAAAGTCATAGAAATATTGAAAAGTAAAAATAAAAAACAAAACAAAAAGCTGTTGAGAATCTTATTACTGCCAAGGAAAAGAAGCAAAAGAACGATTACAGATTGAACTTTGATCTTGGAAGTAAAACGACCAGGAAAAACAAAACATCAACAGAATTTGGAATGAATTCCTTTAAATGGGATCAAAGCCAATCGATATCTCATCCGCCTTCCAGTCAAATTAATTTTTGTGAAAAACCGTTGTTGAGCTTACAGTACAAAACACATAAGGGAAGATTTGTTACAGTTATGCTTCAAGATGAAAGAACTTCCAAAGATTATTTTGCATGCAAGTATTGTATTTCTTTTTAAGAGAAAGTACTTTATTGATAAACTTTGAGACTACTGTCTTTTTTATTCATGAAGGTGGAGTGCATTCCACTCGTACTTGTCACACAATGAATACAATCCAGGCAGTCTCCAAACCATAACTTATGACAACGTTATTTTAAATATTTGTGGAGAATACATGTATAATCAACACTGGGGATGGAGACTCATTTGTCCAGAGAAAGGGGTTAATACATTTTCATGGTTATTATTTTGCTATCGTGGTGGATATATCTAATCCCAAATTGTTGTGAATTCGAATTCGGACAGATCCTTGTTTTGAAGTGGACAAGGAGCAGACGAGATAAGAGCAACAACGGGCGTGGTTGTTGTAGATATCAACCAGGGAGATGTCGTGTATATCAGAACACTATCCTACTAATTCCATTGTCGGAACACTTTATAGCCAGCCTACTTTCGGATCATAATTCAGTAGATGGATACTGTTTTAAGATAAAATGGAATGTTATCGTGCAATAGGTAAATGTACTGGTATTCTTTACAATGGAAAAAAATCTCCAAGACATAGAAAGAAAAGAAGACAAAAATAATTTCTTTAACTGTACATTGTTGTATCTCTTTTAGTGTTAACATGACGTTAAGCGTTTATGTTTACACATGAATTAAATGTCTTTTTAAAATATTTTGAAGGAAAATGGGTTTGTTAGACATATGTTAGATGCTAAAATTAAGTCATACAAAATATAACTGGGATAACGAGTCGACTACTGAATCAGAGTAATAATTTGAAACGGTTTAGAGTTATTTCCCTTTGGTTAATTGCTGTTATCAGGAAATCATTGTAAATAATGTAATTAATGAGTTATTTGATAAAATGATTTTAATGCAAACAATGTTATATTAAACACAGATCAACTAAAAACAAAAATTTGGTTAAGACGATCAAAGTATGCTCGAAAATTATCAGAAATATATTGTCTGTAAAGCCGTTTAAATTTATTGATGTATAGATTCCATATGACCATTTGGTACTGCGTTTGTGTGACTTAGGTATCCAGTTTGTTAAAAACGAATTACAGAGGTACGTTGGTGCTATTGAGAAGTGTTTGAATAATAGATTAAGGAAGCAATTGCCTAAATCTAGCGAAATCATAAGCAAAAGCACAACATAATAACAAAGTGGCGTCTTATTAGCCGAGTTTATGATATTATGGTTACATCATACACTAGACATTTGTCTCCCTATTTTTATAGATTGCTTTTGATCTCTAGATTCTGCATTAATTTTCATTATTCTCATACAACTTGGACATTTACCAAGCAGGCGCCCATGGAGATTGATCGGGTCCCACACGTTACACAATGTTGGAGAAACCTATAATCAGCAATTTGAAAACTTCATTTGCCAAGCGGATAGGGTGTTCACATTTCCATGTACATAACTTTGCTTTTATGGTGGATTTTTTTCTAGTTGTAATAATCTAGCCATGTCTTGGAATAAGCCTTCACTACAGTTGGAATATATCCCATATACTTGCACTGTACCGAATCGGGGGGGGTGTATCCGTTCCTGGATGATTATAAAATTCAAAAGGGGTTGGACTGAAAATAACAACCAAAATAATCCAAACACACCATTTTGAGATTGTATACCCATTTTATCGCAAGAAATGTCCACAAATACACTAAAAATCAATTTATTTCTCCATAAAATTTACACTCCATGCCTAAATTCGGAACTCTCCAGATTGATCGAAGTAAATGAGTTCGATTTATAGTCTGTGTTTATTTTGCTAAAGTCACAATACACAGGGCAAAAACTGGCTAAGCACACCAATATCAATTTAAACAAGAGGTCCAGGGGCCACATCGCTCACCTGAGCAATTGGATAGGAAAAAGCACATATGAGATTAGAACTGAAATTAAGTTTACTGAAGGGGGGCAGGGGGTTTGAATTTTAACCCCCAGGGGTAATGATTTGAACAAACTAGAATCTACACTACCTGAGGATGATTCCCTATAAATATCACTAAGCTGTCTTTGAAGTACTTGAAAAGAAGATTTTTAAAGGTTTCCCTATATATTACTATGTAAAACTTTAGGCCCCACCCTACCCCCGGGGGTCATGATTTGAACAAACTTGAATCTACACTACCTGAGGAACATTCCACAAGAGTTTCATCTTTCATGTCTCAATGGTTCTTGAGAGGAAGATTTGTCCAATATATTCCTTTGTAAAACTTTGATCTGCCATTGTGGCCCCACCCTACCCCTGGGGGTCATAATTTGTACAAACCTGAATCTACACTACCTGAGGATGATTCCACATGAGTTTCATCTTTCCTGGCCCAGTGGTTCTTGAGAAGAAGATTTTTAAAGATTTTTCCTATATATTCCTATGTAAAACTTTTATCGGCCATTTTGGCCCCACCCTACCCCTGGGGATCATGATTTGAACAAACTTGAATCTACACTACCTGAGGATGATTCCACATGAGCTTCATCTTTTCTGGCCCAGTGGTTCTTGAGAAGAATTTTTTTTAAATTCCATTAATTTTTCTCTAATTCATAATTATCTCCCCTTGGAAAAGGGCGTGGCCCTTCATTTAAACAAACTTGAATCCCATTAACTCAAGGATACTTTGTAGCAAGTTTGGTTGAAATCGGCCCGATGGTTCTTGAGAAGAAGATGAAAATGTGAAAAGTTTACGACAACAACGACAACGACGACAGCGACAGACGACGGACAAATTTTGATCAGAAAAGCTCACTTGAGCCTTCGGCGCAGGTGAGCTAAAAATGGGATGTTTTTCTGTACAGTGTATCTTTTCAAAATTGTCGTGATATCGAATTTATTTGAAGCTTTGTTCTGCACTGGTCAATTGCAAGGAGCGGTGGTGGATTTTCAGGGGAGGGGTTGAGGCACAAATGGTCGAAATGGGAGGGTATGGGAGATGTGTCCCCTTCCCTTTGATGGGGTTTTGGGGTCTCCCCCGAATTTTTTTTTTTTTTTTTGGAAAAATATTGTTAAATCTGACAATTTAAGGATTGTGAGCATTTGCGTTGTCTTCATTATAAATTCACCTTTAATTTGTCGTATGTCAAGCTCTGAATTTTAAGATACAACAGACGTGCAATTTTAAATACTTTGAAAAAATTGGGTTCTTTGTAGAAACCCTTACTACTGCTTTTCAAATTTATGTGTACTAGTTTATCATAAAAACAGTTTGCACACTGCTGATATTAGGACCGACTTCAATGAGTCATATACATTTAGATTTAAGCACTGCGTAAAGGATAGAAACATGGCTTCCTGAATTGGTATGTATTTTTGACCTTGTTTGGTTGTAAACTATGTGCCCAATAAATTTCTAAAATATTAAGAATTTGTCAAATTTTAATGATGTTCAAAACACAATCTTATTGAAATCATCCTTAATAATCTTTTAAAATACATTTTTTGTCAATAAATATCCCATTATTTTTAACCTTCGATTGAAAAATTTTTATTCCTGTGATTAAAATTATTCGTTTTATTCATCGTACAGAAATTAGGATTTTGGATAAAAGTTCCTGTATATCATTTGTCCTTTAGAACTAATCTGCCGATCCAAAAAAAAAAACGCAATTATATTCAGTTATATCAACTTTTTTTTCCAAACGGATGTGTTCACTAAAGATCAGATTTCTATAACAAGCGCAATACCATCTGGACAATCTCCGTTATGAAAAAGCAAAAACACGCGTAACTGTCTATTTCGATGTGAACTTGGATATTCAATTTTCAAATTTTTTTCAACAGTGAAGATAAAAATTCGCAAAGTCACACATAAGAAATAAAAATCTTACTTAAAAACATGAATATCACCATACTTGAATTTCAACTGGCAGTGTCGCTTAAAATGTGATCATAACAACTTTTCTTAAACTCAATATTTTAATATTAAAACAAAGTTGAATAATTCTTTTTGCTTGAAAAAGGGTTTTTAAAGAACCAGTGAAACATTCTTGATCAGAATTTGCTGATGAGATTAAAGCTGTAGTGCTAACATAACTATAGTACATGTAGCTCTTGGACTTGAAACTATTGGTAATGCAACAGAAATAAGAAAAATGTAAAGCTAAAATTATTTGTTTATTGTTTTCTTTATATGTATATCGTTTCGTTTTTTGTTTTTTTTTTTTTCATAAATCTTTTGAACACTACTTTTTTCTTTGCAGTATTAGGGCATCAATTTTGATTTCATAGTAATTTTTGCTGAGACTAGAAATATATTTTTATTCACACAAAAAATGGTTCATTTAAATTGCGACTTTTTTTACTCTGTTACTAATCAATAATGACATCAACAGTTTATGTGTTTATAAAAGCCAGTAATTTCATATAATTTTTACAGAGGACCAGACTAAAGGCTTTCTGCTTTACTTTTCTGTAAGTTATTTCATGTTTTATTTTCATGTTCAATACTTTACTTCAAGATAATTTTAACGTATATTTATACATAAAGCAATAAATATTCAAATAACAAAATGTCTTATCTCCGTCGATTTTCAATTATGATGAATTTCGGACGATATTTTGAACTTTCTAGGCTTTGTCTATTGTTTTTTTTAATCAAACAATTTTAACAATGAATAAAATCCCATATACAGTCATTCCCATATAATTCATACATTTACCAAGTCCATAGTATTGAAAAACGAATTTAAGAGCAATGATATAATTTTGTGTTTGATTGATAAAGTAAACATCCTTTGTTAATAAAATGAAATTTTACACGTTAATCTTTCTTCGTTTAGTTTTTATGGCTATTCCAACTCACCACATGCAAGAACTCCGTAACGGAGGTTATAACTCAGAAAAAGCAGCTGTAAAGTTTTTAAAGTCTTTGTTCATGTTTTAATTTTTATTGAACTTCGAAGCTTTATCAATATACTACTAAATTATGACAGAAGAAATTCTGAACTGCAAACATAAAAAATATTTACTAAATATGTGTAAATACAGATAACGGAATTTTTGGACAATAAAATAAACACTATTTTCCAGTAGGAATATTGCCAAGCAAACAGATTATTACATTACTTGCACCACTTGATTTGAAAAATAAAAGGATATATCTTGAAAATTAAAGAACTTATCTCATTATAAATTGACCACTTTTTAAAGAAAAGTTGATATACAAATTGCTCTAAAATTGTAACGGAGGTTACACAAACTCGTTTTGAAGATTAAGAGATAAAACTACTTTGTAAAACGTGTCAAACACACTTTAAAAGAATGTATTTACACAATTAAAAAAAGAACTAAACAGTTTTCCCCTCTTTTTTAGAGCAATTTACCAAAAAGTGTGTTTCGTTACGGAGGTTATTTTGAATATTTACAAAAAGAGTAAACCGAATTTTAGACTTCCTTTCGGCTTTACAAACTTATGTCGCTCAGCATTACTAAGGGTCAATCAACTTAATCAAATACAATGAAGTGCATTGAAGTGGTAAAATTTTCCGTTCGAATGGAACGTTTTGAGCTATCTTTAGAACATTTATTGTCATCTTATGACACGCCCATATCTTTAGAAATGGATAAAACGGTCAATTTGTTTATTCGAATACCTGTAAAACAGGTTTACCATAAATATAATAGCCAATGAAATTGACGATCTAAATAAATAACGAGTAAACACGTGTTCGACCGAAACATGTGTTGTTGTAACTTCAATAGACATGATAAGTTCTAAAATATGTACATATTCGTTGCAATTTGTGTTTTACAGAAGCGGAGAGTCGCTAACTCTCTTTTCTAATGTTTTTAAAGCTCCATTTCAGTGTAACTCATAATGCTTGTCGCGAAGAATGGGGTGTCCTAAAACATAACGACGAATATTTCTTTCTCGTTTCTAAAAATATGGGCGTGTCATTATGTTGTAATTGACGTTCAAAACATGACTCAGAACGTTTCATCCAAACGGAAAATTTTACCACTTCAATGCGCTTCATTGTATTTATTAATATATTATTGTCTTTTTAACTGCAAATGTGAAATTGAAGATTTAAACTTCTATAACCTCCGTTACAAAATATACAACCTTCGTTTCGAACAACCGGTGTGAATGCTTTTACCTAATTTTAAATTTAAATAAAAATAGTTAGAAAACAATATTTATTTGTAAAAAAAGGATAAAAAATATTTGTATTAACGTTTTTTAGGCAAATACATTTAGATTTTAAAAAACAAAACAAATAATTGTAACCTCCGTTACGAAATACCTTACTGAAACTTGTAATAATGAAGTGATTTATTGAATCATTGTGAAGTGACTGTCACACATCAACATAATTTTTCATGAAAACTTATTCAATATATCATAATATATGAAAAATTCACTTAAAAACACAAAAATCCATTTTTTGCAGAAAAACCCAACCTCCGTAACATCGTTGGTTTTACGTATAAACGAGTACAATTTTCCTGTACACCGCTGATAGTTCACATAAGGGTGACCTTTTTGTGCCCATACACATTACGGAATATTAGACATTTACAAAACGAAAAAAAACACTATCATTTTTATTTGTAATATGCAAAAAACATCTAAATTAAGGCCATTTTTACCATAATATTTTCAAAAATACCTTTATTTTATGCATTAAACGCATTATGATTTTTATATTCCAATTTGTTATCAACTTAAAGAGTAAACTTCCAGCATTATCTGGTAGATTTAAAGACCTGAAATGATGCACACGTCAGATTTTGCTGAATTTACGTTACGTAGGTTAGAGGTTACGGAGGTTAGAACCATTAGTAATTTCTTTATTTCTGAATTGTTGTTTAACTTTCCTTACATTTGTTTTTTGTTTACTAGACATACCCATTGGTGTCAATCAACTGCATTGAAATAGTGCTTCACATAGCCTCTGTTTCTTCACAATCACCGTCACGTAGGTTAGGTTCTTATATGCGACATTATAAAAAATCCATATTTTTAAAAATTTTGAAAAGGGTTTTATTGATTTGCCTAAAAAAAGATTCTGTGCTCAAGTTTTAATATATATTAGACACAAAAACACAGTTTTAGCTGTACTAACGATATATTGTATTATCTTAAAAAATATTCAAACAATGTTACGGTAGGTTAGGTGAAATTTGGCGACAGCGATGATCAAAGGTTTGTTTAAAAATCGTTATTCGTTTATCAATGAAAGTTTCATTTATTTGATTTTGACATGTTTCTTCATTAATTAAAACAATTTTTGTTTGTTTAGAACAAAATGCGACCAGGCAATGCACATTCAAACTGCAAGGTATACTATGGCAACATCGCCTTTTACACAATTCCGGGCTTCCTTTTGTGTAAATACTCGGAGAAAAAATATCAAAAAATATACCAGCTAATGTTTTTTTGTGTGACAAAATATGTCAACATAAAGGGTCAAGGAATAATTTGAATATCAGTAACCATAGCTTTGAAATGTATTGGCGACATAGCGTTTTTTCATTTGTATGAATTATACGGGAATGACTGATATTACCACACAAATCAGCACCCTTATAAGAATTTTTAGTGCAAATTCAAAGCAATGCAATGTCGGTGAAGGGCTGCAAATTTAAACCTATGCTCGGCACTTACGGCCTTTGAACAGGGAGGGATCTTTATCGTGCTACACCTGCTGTGACACGGGGCTTCGGTTTAAACGGTCTCATCCGAAGGACCGCCCCACTTAGTCTCCTTTTACGACAAGCAATTGCAAGGGGGTACAAAGGACCTATTCTAATCCAAATCCCCACGGGACAATTTTACCACTGAAAAGAGCGTCTTATAGAATCAAGTTTATCTTCATGTTGTCTGTTGTCTTATGGGGGAAAAAAATGCATTCTATGGCCCGGTCAGGTTAATTACTTATATCTCATTTAGGCTGTTCAATTCCCTTTGGGAGAATGGTCAAAATCAGACCAAAGTGAGACAAATGCAAAATTAATGCCTCTAGCATTGATACGGCCTGAATTAAATTTAAAAATTTAATTATGTCATCAGCTGAAAGTTTTAGTAGGAAAGGTCCAATAATGTGAAACTTTACTTACAACCGCTTCCGCTTTTGCGTATTATGTCTTTTTTTGTCATACTTTACGTTTATATCATCAAAACATTTCAAAATTGAAATCCTAGATAGACCTCAAATCTTTTTTCATGTTTTTTTTTAAGACATCAGATTTGAAAATGCTCGATAAGTCAAAAAAAGATTCAGATAATTTCTGCGGGTTGATAAATTTAGCTTATTTTAAACGTTCTATAGTACATCACTAAAGTTATCTATTGATAAATTTAAAATATTGTTATTTCAAAAACAAAAACATCTTATTTTGATTTTCTTATTGTAAGTTAAATATTTTTCCAGTATTGGTATTGAATCAAACTCTCGCAAATATTGGTTTTTTTATTGAACGTACTGAAAGTTATCTTACAGATTTTTATTTATCTATATTGTAAAGTTATGGAACTCAGAGACCGCAAAAACAAGTTCCACCAAAGTTATTTAAATACCTTTGAGCAAGTCAAACGTCGAATTCTAAAAACACCCGCTATATAGAATATTGTGTTCTTTCTTTTTCTCTATTTTTTTTTTCTTTCAGAACGACCCAAATTAATTTTTGGAAAACATGGCCTTCCTGAAGCTTTTTATTCTTTTTGTTACAACGATGGTTTTGGTACCTACTAATGGAATTGTTGAGGAACGAACGTCTTCAATCTCCAAATTATTACGCCGAAAAAATGACTTGGAAGAAAGAATGCAAATACAAGAACGTATCAGTAAACTTCCAGCATTATCTGGTAGATTTAAAGACCTGAAATGATGCACACGTCAGATTTTGCTGAATTTACGTTACGTAGGTTAGAGGTTACGGAGGTTAGAACCATTAGTAATTTCTTTATTTCTGAATTGTTGTTTAACTTTCCTTACATTTGTTTTTTGTTTACTAGACATACCCATTGGTGTCAATCAACTGCATTGAAATAGTGCTTCACATAGCCTCTGTTTCTTCACAATCACCGTCACGTAGGTTAGGTTCTTATATGCGACATTATAAAAAATCCATATTTTTAAAAATTTTGAAAAGGGTTTTATTGATTTGCCTAAAAAAAGATTCTGTGCTCAAGTTTTAATATATATTAGACACAAAAACACAGTTTTAGCTGTACTAACGATATATTGTATTATCTTAAAAAATATTCAAACAATGTTACGGTAGGTTAGGTGAAATTTGGCGACAGCGATGATCAAAGGTTTGTTTAAAAATCGTTATTCGTTTATCAATGAAAGTTTCATTTATTTGATTTTGACATGTTTCTTCATTAATTAAAACAATTTTTGTTTGTTTAGAACAAAATGCGACCAGGCAATGCACATTCAAACTGCAAGGTATACTATGGCAACATCGCCTTTTACACAATTCCGGGCTTCCTTTTGTGTAAATACTCGGAGAAAAAATATCAAAAAATATACCAGCTAATGTTTTTTTGTGTGACAAAATATGTCAACATAAAGGGTCAAGGAATAATTTGAATATCAGTAACCATAGCTTTGAAATGTATTGGCGACATAGCGTTTTTTCATTTGTATGAATTATACGGGAATGACTGATATTACCACACAAATCAGCACCCTTATAAGAATTTTTAGTGCAAATTCAAAGCAATGCAATGTCGGTGAAGGGCTGCAAATTTAAACCTATGCTCGGCACTTACGGCCTTTGAACAGGGAGGGATCTTTATCGTGCTACACCTGCTGTGACACGGGGCTTCGGTTTAAACGGTCTCATCCGAAGGACCGCCCCATTTAGTCTCCTTTTACGACAAGCAAGGGGATACAAAGGACCTATTCTAATCCGAATCCCCACGGGACAATTTTACCACTGAAATGAGCATCTTATAGAATCAAGTTTATCTTCATGTTGTCTTTTGGGGGAAAAATGCATTCTATGGCCCGGTCAGGTTAACTACTTATATCTCAGTTAGGCTTTTCTATTCCGTTTGGGAGAATGGTCAAAATCTGATCAAAGTGAGACAAATGCAAAATTAATGCCTCTAGCATTGATACGTTCTGAATTAAATTTAGAAATTTAATTATGTCATCAGCTGAAAATTTTAGTAGGAAAGGTCCAATAATGTCAAATTTTACTTACAACCCTTCCTTATAATTAGCTTCCGCTTTTGCGTATTATGTCTTTTTTCGTCATACTTTGTGTTTATATCATCAAAACATATCAAAATTAAAATCCTAGATAGACCTAAAATCTTTTTTCATGGTTTTTAAGACAACAGATATGAATATGGTCGATAAGTAAAAAAAGATTCAGATAATTTCTGCGGGTTGCTAAATTTGGCTTATTTTAAACGTTCTATAGTACATCACTAAAGTTATCTATTGCTAAATTTAAAATATTGTTATTTCAAAAACAAAAACATCTTATTTTGATTTTTTTTATTGTAAGTTAAATATTTTTCCAGTTTTGCTATTGAATCAAACTCTTGCAAATATTGGTATTCTTTATTGAACGTACTGAAAGTTATCTTACAGATTTTTATTTATCTATCTTGTAAAGTTATGGAACTCAGAGACCGCAAATACAAGTTCCACCAAAGTTATTTATACACCCGCTATATATATAGAATATTGTGTTTTTTCCTATTCTCTATTTTTTTTCTTTCAGAACGACCCAAATTAATTTTTAGAAAACATGGCCTTCTTGAAGTTTTTAATTCTTTTTGTTACAACGATGGTTTTGGTACCTACTAATGGGATTGTTGAGGAACGAACGTCTTCAATCTCCAAATTATTACGCCGAAAAAATGACTTGGAAGAAAGAATGCAAATACAAGAACGTATCAACCAAGAACAGGAACTGCTTATCAAAGCATTAGTTCTCGAGAAGACGAAAGAAGACAACATTTCTATGAAGTGTGAGCAAACGGGAACAAGTAAAATTCAGCAAAGAGCTACATCAGGTCAGTTTCAGCAATGTAAAAATGAAAAAAGGTGCAAACTATGAGTAATGTGTCTTTCAGATATTACGAAGTACCATCATTAAAAATAAAAATGAGCATATATGCATGAAATATAATCCATAGCTTAATTCGCCTCAAAACGTAGGTGGAGTGGCTTTCCAAGCATATATGTCAAAACCCGAATACAATACCTGGCGTCACCAGACAGTTATTTTCGACAAGATTATCACAAACATTGGCGGACATTATAACCACTACACAGGAATCTTCACAGCACCAGGTCACGGGGTATACGTGTTCTTGTGCACTCTGCATTGTAATTCCAATAGTTACAATGCATATTTATACTCACATTTGATGGTTAATTCAAGTAGAAAAGGTGGCGGTCTATGCACATCAGATGGCGATATTGAACACAGTTCAGGTGTCGTCGTGGTTGAGGTCAATCAAGGAGATAAAGTGTACATCCGTACAGGTCAAAAAAAAGGGCTCGATTAAAATTTAAAAAATACAGTTGATTCATGTACATGTAATTGCTTTTTAATTTTATAAAAACAGTAAATTTCAGATTTTAATAATTTAAACAAGGATGAAGAAAACCTTTGTTTAATTATATTTTGTGAAATGAAAAAAAATTATTGAGTGACTATTATTTTCTTTGATAAAGTGCCAGTAATACCCATTCATTAGAAACCTTTCCTATCACTTGACATTTATTTTTCTAACAATTGATCTCGTTAATTAATTTTTGTTATCACTCAACTGTGCTTTTACCAGATCAGCAACTCTGAAGCACCTCTATCTTTTCGTGACGTTCTACCTTTTTTTTTTTTAAGTTTTGTTCAAATTTCACCAGATCAAGGTTTCATCACAGACTTCCTCATCCGGTACAGAATCTCTGTCACTCAAATACCGTATTATGTACCATTTATAAACACAAACACGACTTACTTGTGACATAATCTTTTTATTCTTTAAACATTTTTAGAAGTTTTTTTTTAATTTTACCTTATTATAACACAACATCAAAATAGATATCTCCTGCTCCGTGACGTTCAACAACGTCATAATTTCTGTCAATTTTATTGAGAATTCGCCTACCTATCTTAGCTTCTCAAACTAATTCCTTGTCAAAGAAGCAAATAATTAAGTATAGGATTTATTTCGCTTTTGTTCCATTTTGCAGAGAATATGATAACAGACAATATCATGTTTATTTCGAGTGTTGTTTGTGAATTACTACATAAAGATGGCGTACAAGGCATGGACAATCCCCCGTTCTGAGACAAAATGTTTCTCAATTTTCAAAATTCACAGAAAAATTATATTTTTCTAAAATCGCGTTCTTCAGTTATGTAATCTTCAAAGCATTTTATCATTTTATTTTACTAAAGGGCTTATTATATAATAATCTCTTTCAAAGTTGACAGTTAAGCATGGAAAATGGGTTTACTATAGCTATAAAAAAGGAATTTGAAACAAAAATGGGTCAAGTCTCCATTCTTCGTTAACGCTTGAATGATGGAAACGTAAATTTAAATCTATTTCATTTGTCCAAAATATGGATTCTGAACCCATTCTACATGAAAATCAAAGATTTCTGAAAAAATGTAGGCTTCCAAAAACGCACATTTAAATCATATAATTTGACATAATTTGATGTTGTATATACTTCGCAGCGTAGTGGTTAAAGCGGTCGGTCCTGGACGAAACATTGCGCTATAGAGAGAGCTTGAATCGTACGTAAAGATTTTTTTTTATTTTCACATATCTAAAAACATGAGTGAAAAAAAATATTGATAAATTATTAAAGCAATGATATAAACAATATAATTTTGAAAAATGTAATTTTAAGAATTGAGAAATGTCTTCTTAGAGCGGGGAATTTTCCTCGCCCTGTACGCCTCCATTTTTTTGATTTTTGCAGCCTTTAATTCCAGATAGGATTGAAATAAATCATAATGTATTTTTTTAAATAACACAAAAAATTTGAATTTATTTTTTTTATTTTACTGAATATGGATAGCATATGACGTTAAATGACAAAGATATGACAGTAATCTATGAACCTCTTAAATTATCAAAGGAAATACCGACTTGTGTATTTCTTCCGGTCATAATATTTTATCGATTTATGAAAATATGGTTTTATGTTTGCATATAATGTAGATTTAAGTGAGTTTTGTTTAGAGATACTTGATGAAATAAATTACAAGCATTACGTAAAACTTTTAAAGAAATGATACAAGAGTATTAAAATAAAATCATGGGGAAACAAAGCCATGTTACATCTGTTTGTTAATATTGAGGCTATAAGTACCTGTACTCGTAATTCACAAGGGTTTGTATTATTAACAGGTGAAAACATTTCCTTGGGTAACGTTAATACTTTTCATTCTTAAGTGCAGAATAGAGTCTCATATTTTTATGGTAAAAAATATTTGGAACTTGTTTTCCTTTTAAGTACTAAATGCGTGTGGAATTTTAATAGTTATACAGATATAGGAAACGCCTTGTACAGTGATATTAAAAAGCAAGTCTCTATCAATATGCATCATGTACAGTATATTACTTTGAAATAATTGAAATTATCATTACAGTGTACGGTTTGAGTGATTGACTATTATTGTTTAACGCCGAAACGGCAATATTTCAGCCAATACAATGTGAAGACAGTTGTGTATCTGCAGCTGTTTTATTGTAACAAGTAATACATTTAACAAACAACAGAAAGTAACTTGTACTTTCATATTCATATAAAATATATTAAATTGTTTCTTTTTTTGCAATATTATTTTAGAATAAAAAACTTTGATCTTTGTCAAAGATAAACTCAGAACGCATCTCAGATGACTTTTAAATGTTCAAATATATTTGTTTTTGTGGCTTAAAAACATTACTGCATTTAATTTTAATATTTTTTTAATAAATATTTAATTTCTTTTTTATGAACAGAACCATATAGTCACGATTTTTTTTCATAAATACGAATAAAGCATTTTTACATAAGGAAAAAGTACCTTGAGCAATGGGGTATTTTATATAATAATGAAAGGGTGAATCCTGTAATTAGTTCACAGTTTTTGCCCATATGTTTATCTTAAAGGGTGGTCGCTGTTAAATGGAATTATTATGCTTCAAATGATGTTAACATCCTGTCAAAAAGTGATCGATTTTGGGCAATTGTTTTGTTCATCACTTAGAGTCACCCAATGCTTTGATGTCCATACCGTATTCGCTACATTTCTGGTCACTCCTGTATTAGGAAATATGTCTTCATTTGTCGTGTGTTGATAAATGAAAGTCGTTTCCATTAAAAAAATCTGATGATTATTAACCTCTTGAAAACAATTTCCTCTTAAAGAGAGAAGTATATTTACAGTAAAACACGGTTATAGCGAAGTCCTGGGGACCTGTGAATTTAATTCGCTATATCCGTAATTCGTTAACCATATATCGCGAATTCGCAATATGCATGTTTTCCTTCAAGTGTTACTATCAAAAATGTTAGGGAAACAAATATTACAAAACATACCTTCGATAACTAAGGTTTTATTATGAATTGAATTTTATATACAAATGCTGAGAGAAAATAAAGTCAGTTCAATTAAATCAAATTTTAAAATCTTTGAAAGTTCGGTATAAAAGATGTAAAATCATTATATTTAACCTCAACGGGACTAAGAATCAGTTCGCTATATCCGTAAATTCGTTATATCAGAATTCGTCATAACCGTAAAATTTTACAAAGATTTGTTAATAATTTTGCCGGGGACCCAGAAAAACTTCGTTATATCCGTGAATTCGCTATATCCGTGTTCGTACTAAACGTGTTTTACTGTAAATAGTTATTATTTTCACATATCTTTTTTAAACATTACCCTAGGAACACCATGTAAAGCACCACAAACGATGTTGCATTTTAAAAATATTTTATTAACATTCAATTTTCAAACAAACACAGTAGAAAAAACAAACGGAAATATAGAGTTTGTCAACAGAACATGATGTTACACCCGATTGATACGTAATGCGTTTCTGACATAACTTATCGTTAATTAGGCAACTCATGTTATAAAATATAAACTAAATCTTTTATCCAATCAAATGACGTGCTACAACTTAAAAAAAATTACCGTTGTATGTACTCATTATTTTAGTCATTTATTTTATACTTTCTAAAAATTCAGTAACATTGTAATATGTCATGTGCATAAAAGATTTTTTTAAAAGTTCAAAAAAAAATATGTATATCATTTTTTTATTTGAATGATGTTTTCGCAAATTAAACCAATTTCTGCCTATTACTTTCTTTTATTCTCTTAAAAAGGGTTCTTTGCAAATGGAAAATAAACAGCATGTGTTTTGTTGAGATCATGTTATATATCTGTGTAGGTATTCTAATTTACTCTCATATACCTTTTCCTTTTGATTACATGTAAGTTGTATATTGAATAAAGGTTTTATGCATTAAAGAGAGCGCAATAATGAAGTTCAAAAGAACCTTGATGGACTGCTAATCGGAATCAGAGCAAACTCAGCTGATAGAAATATTACTATTTTGTACTGTTTTTAAGGACTTAAGATCTTGAATACTTGCGTTATTTCCATATGTTTAATGAATAAAACATGTTTCTTTAAATATATAAAGAATTGTTTTCACAAGTAATTGTATCCCTGAAAAAAAGTATCTTTTAGTTAAATTCATGTATTTGATATACCTAGATATTTTATTTAGTTCAATTAAAGTTCAAATTAACGTTATCTAAAAGGTGATTATACATACTGTAGAAGTCTTTAATTTCACGTGCCTAAAATTTCACGGTTTGTTAGAAAGTTACCTTTCACGGTGGTTTTAATTTCACGGAGAATCGTTTTTAAATAATCAGGTACTATGACTGTTTTTTATCAGAAATGACGTAAAATAATAATCACGATGGTTTAAAGTTCGCGGAAAATTCTTAAATCGTGTACATAGTTAAATAAAAAAACACCGTAATGTTTTCAACTTCTACAGTATACAGAGTAACCATAACTGTGCATTTTCCAACATAAAACGAGTGTCCATTAGTATATTCTGTCGACAGAAAATTAAAAGTTGAATATAAAGAATAAAAACATCGAAGTACGCTGAGCGGCTTCAATTTATCGTGTAGGTCAAAAGCACCACTTTTTAGGTACATTTTCAACAATAAATTGCTGTAATTTATTCCTTGTTTGTGGAGGTACCTATTTTTTATGCATTGAATAAAAATCAAAGTACTGAAAGCACTCATGGGAGTTGAACATGGTGTAAATAAAATCTTTGATCGGGAGGTTAAGTGAGTGAACAATATTACATGTATTAATTATTATTATGTTTGTATTTTCAAATATTTTGTACAGACAACTGTTTCACATTTTTTTGAGTTGGAAAAATCTTGATCGAGAAAGACATTCAGAGACATTGAATAGCAAAAAAATGCATGGGTCATAATGCTTGCCTGCCTACATTAGTCCTTTTTTATACCCCTGCTTGAAAAGCGGGAGGGGATTTATTAATCGTGATCTCTGTCCATTTGTTTGTTATACTTTAGGTATACCCATCTCTTATCCGCAACTCCTCTAACACCACTGAACAAAATTTTCATACTAGAATCTTTATTACATATTGCCGTTGTGCTTCTATTACTTTTTCATCCTACTCATATTTTGGGTTTCCCATTGCAAAACATGCACACTGCCATTATATTCATATTAGAGGCGGTTGATCATTTATATCACTACTCACAGTCTTCAAAGTTGTAATATATTTTTCCTTTGCACCTTTACCCATGTGTTATGAAAATTTCAGTTTCGCAGGAATAATATCAATGTTGATAAAATGTGGATTTTAACACAGCATCCTTTTAAGACCTAACAGGTTTTTTGTATAAAACTTCTCTGTGAATAAAAATGTATTTCAATTACACGAAAATTATACATGGAGTAGTCAGAACTTAATCCTTTTTTATTAATAATATTGTGAAGAAAAGAGCAATACAAAGTTAAAAACAAATGTTTCCTAAAGTTTTTATGCATTAACAAATTCAATTAAACCAAGAAAATGTTCATGAAAAGTTTGAATATGACTAAATTTAACGTTTGCCGTCAGTATGTAGAGTTGTCGTTTGTATCTCTTTCAGTGTATGACGCTACACTAAAAATGAGTTCCATTACGAAAAACTTTCATGGTTCTATATAATTTAGTTTAACATGTGTACTTTGAACGAATT